ACTCTGTGAAGCATTTCTTTGGGCTGCAATTTCTGAGGCTGGTAACTCTAATGAACTTATCCTCTGCAGCAGAGGTAACTCTGGGTCTTCCATTCCTGTTTCGGTCCTCATGACAGCCAGTTTCATCATAGTGCTTGATGGTTTTTGCAACTGCACTTGAAGAAAGTTTCGAAGTTCTTGAAATGTTCCCTACTGACTGACCTTCATATCTTCAAATATTGATGGACTGCCGTTTCTCTTTGCATATTTGAGCTTGTCATGACTTGCTCTCATGGGTTGAGGTTCAAACATTCCTGCTAGGCAAAGCTTTGAACACCTCCTTTCCTGGGGTCCAGTTTTATGACTTAACAGCCGCTTATAAATCGTTTGCAGAAAAGTACTCCTTTTGGTCTCTAGTATGGGAAGAAATAAATTCCCTGTGAGACAAAGGAAGTCTTCCCGCCAAGACTCCAACATCCAAAAGTGGATAATGAAACAATATTCCTACTTAAAAGAATGTGGGAAATGGTCAGTGAGGATCTAAAGAATAATCATGTCATATTGTTTATTATTTTGTGATGTCATTAAGGATGGTATCAAGTAATAACTGTAACTCGGAAAGTGTATATATTCTATCTATCAAGTTTACATCTAAATGTTGTATAAAAATATATGATTAAGTATGAGAGTATTTTGGTGAAGATAGGAATGTGATTTTAGTCTTCTAATGAGATAATTGTTTTTCATATAAACTATGCACAGTGACTAGCCACGCCCCGAGTGACATCAGAGATCGTGTAAACATGATGGAACACCCTTTTTACCCCGAGTGCATAAAAAGCCTTGAAAAACAAATCAACCTTTAGTCCAGCAGATGTGAAGCGTGAGCAAAACGTTGCAAATGGTTGAAACTCTACAGACCAAAAAGCATGAAGCGTGAGCTAAACGTTAAAAAATGGTTTAAAACTACAAAGGAAGACCAGCAGACGTGAAGCGTGAGCCAAACGTTGCAAATGGTTGAATTTCTACCCAGACCGGCAAGCCCCACGGCTTAAAATGGTTGAAACTCTACAGACCAGCAGACGTGAAGCGTGAGCTCCCACCATTCTAACCAGCACTATGACCAGAAACTCTACCAAGGACATTGGGATCTCTGGTGGGAAAACCCGAGTCCTACATCATCAACTCAACTATCGAGGACAGCTACATGTAAATACATGTTGCATTTCTAATCCGAATGAGCGTTATTAGGGTGCATAAGTATTATGATTACTGTGAGCATAGTCTCCAAAGGAACCACGATAGTTTGAATCTCTGTCTCTCCCTTCCATTCTGACCCTCCTTCTACCCAAGCAGTCATGTGATTGTTAGTCCAGTCCACTAGGGACCTGTTTTCATTGTATTACATTTACTATGTTTATTACGTTAGTAATCAATAACCTATGTGTGTTTGTATTGTGTTATTATTTAGTTAGTTAGTAAATAAATAATTAAGACATTTTGTGTGTTGCTGATTCATCAATAAGGTTAGGTTTCTTGCAGGTTCAAGGATTATGCGACGTTCAGAATGAGACTGATAAGAGGTCATTATTTGATAAGTGACTGTTATCGATATATAACATATCTTCTAAGAGTTTAATTTCGGGAGATGGCTACTCGTTAAACAACTTCTTCCGTGGTGCCCCAAATTCCTAATGAGTTAATTGATACATGATTAATTTAATTGAGTGACAATTAAACATAGTTAGGTGATTCGATAAATAACAGTCATACATTGAAGTAAGTCACGTCGCGACCAAGCTGTTTTAGTGTTTCACCATAGTGAAGGCATATTTTCTGGTTCTCTCTCACTTTCTCACCCTCACTTTCTCTCTCACTATCTCTCTCACTTTTTCTCTCTCACTTTCTCTCTCTCTCTCACTTTCTTCTCTCTCAACGCAACGTTTCTGACTGACAGACAATTTCTGACAGAAAAACAGTGACGTACTTGTATTCTAAAGGATTCTCTGTTTCTTGTATTTCTGTGTTTCAGCATCCTATAAGATTAGTTAAAGAGCAGCCCAAAACTATGTGTGTGTGTGTGTGTGGATGAAATCGCCTTAACCGTATCCGTACATTCTCACACGTTTATCACATCGTGTCAGCTCTATTCATTACCATTGTTTCTGCAACATTCTAAACATTTCACAGGTTGACTTGAGAATTCACCAAGGCCTACTGTTCACCAACATTATTCACTGTATACACCTGTGATCATGTGACTGTCCTTTGTTCCTAGGGGTGTGTTCGTGGGACGCGGGGCCTGTAGTTGTCACGGTGATACACCTGTTCACAGGGCAACAGCCTGGCGACCTGAGCTTCAAACCCAGCGACCGCATCACTATGGTTACCAAGACAGAGTCACAGTATGACTGGTGGGAGGGAACGCTAAACGGACGGACTGGAATCTTCCCCGCTAACTTCGATCACACTACATAGACACACATGATCACACTACATAGACACACATGATCACACTACATAGACACACGATCACACTACATAGACACACATGATCACACTACATAGACACACATGATCACACTACATAGACACACACATGAACACACTACATACACACACATGATCACACTACATAGACACACATGATCACACTACATAGACACACACATGATCACACTACATAGACACACATGATCACACTACATAGACACACACATGATCACACTACATAGACACACGATCACACTACATAGACACACATGATCACACTACATAGACACACACATGATCACACTACATAGACACACATGATCACACTACATAGACACACGATCACACTACATAGACACACATGATCACACTACATAGACACACATGATCACACTACATAGACACACACATGATCACACTACATAGACACACACATGAACACACTACATACACACACATGATCACACTACATAGACACACATGATCACACTACATAGACACACACATGATCACACTACATAGACACACATGATCACACTACATAGACACACACATGATCACACTACATAGACACACACATGATCACACTACATAGACACACATGATCACACTACATAGACACACACATGATCACACTACATAGACACACATGATCACCCTATATAGACACACATGATCACACTACATAGACACACATGATCACACTACATAGAAACACATGATCACACTACATAGACACACATTATCACACTACATAGACACACACATGATCACACTACATAGACACACGATCACACTACATAGACACACATGATCACACTACATAGACACACACATGATCACACTACATAGACACACATGATCACACTACATACACACATGATCACACTACATAGACACATGATTACACTACATAGACACACATGATCACACTACATAGACACACACATGATCACACTACATAGACACACACATGATCACACTATAATTGACACACACATGGCTGTATCTGGACTCACTGCACTTACATTGACATGTTAGTCATTTAGCAGACTCTTATCCAGAGTGACTTACACAGGTTCATCTTAAGATAGCTAGGTGAGACAGCAACATATCACAATCGTAGCAATACTTTTATAGTCCCCATAAACTGTCTGGCTTTAACATGGGGTGTGAGATGTTACAATGAAGTATAAAAATGTAATATTTCATACATGTTAATATTTCCTTCTGTTTCTATAAAATGCATTGCTGATTAGAGATCAAAACCCTGGTTATTTTATGTTCTGAACTAAAGGGTGATGGGGTTATGTACACACACTTCTCACCATACTGCTGGATCAACTTATTTAATATAAAATAATATTTAATCTTAACAAACCTGTATGTAATGGTGGATTTCTCTAAGGATGTGTGGATACTATTAAAGAACCTTGTAGGAGTGTGGCTGTAATTGTGTATTTTGTCTTCTGTCCAGAGGAGGGCGATGTACTTCTACTATCAGTCATTTAGACCCATTTTCTACCTTCACCTTATATGCCCAGTCATGCATTTAAAAGCATTCGATTGGAGCAAGCATGGCTGGTCAAGATGTTCTATCGGGTGATTTAATTACAATTCCCCATGTCCGCGTGACAATGCACCACTAAGCACTCACTTGTATTGCACGTGTGTGCATTTGTGTGAATGGTTACATGATTGTCCAGGGTGATTAAGGTTACAGCTTGGTATAGTTGATTATTGCGGAACAGGAGGGTGATTTGAACATCCTAAACCCCCCCACACAGAATATAATTCCCCAGTTTTTTTATTACACAAAGTTTTCGTCAGGGTAATAATTAACGGAGAGTGACTATATTCCGTGTGCGGATCCCTCATTTCTTTATAGTGGATTATTGCCCCAGTTAGGGTTGCAAAATTACAGTAACTTTCCCATAATTCCCTGGTTTTCTAGGAATCCTGGTTGGAGGATTCCTGGATTTGCTGCTTATTCCCACGTAATACCAGGAACCGTCTAACCAGGATTTCTTGAAAACCCGGGGTAAGTTACCGGTATTTTGCGACCCCTAGACCCAGGTCAGACAAACAAACACATTCTTATGAAATTGAAAATTCCATTTTTTATTCAATATTATGTTATGAAGAACAGGAATTCTACAGATTGTAGAGGAGAACATTCCTCGGCCATGTCATGGGCCTAGAAGAACACACAACAGCACATCATGAGTTACAATCTGTCATTTCAACAGCCTGACCCTGCCACCGGACAGGACAACATTCCTACAGACATCTGCTTTCAATACCAAACATACAGCCATAAGACCACACCCTTTACGATAAATCAGCCCCCCCCGCCCCCACATCTCAGGTCAACTTACATTTACATCATTTAGCAGACGCTCTTATCCAGAGCGACTTACAGGAGAAATTAGGGTTAAGTGCCTTGCTCAAGGGCACATCGACATATTTTTCACCTAGTCGGCTCAGGGATTAGAACCAGCACCTTTTGGTTACTGGCACTACGCTCTTAACCACTAAGCTACCTGCCGCCCTTGACATGAAACACAGCGTAGAAATGTCAGCAAGGTGCAAGGGAGATTAATGATTGTACAAGCATAACGCACATACAAAAACGCACACACAGAACCTCCCTGCAGAGCTGTTTACACAATGATAACATTAGCTATGTTTCCTTGCATCACACACACACAGGTCTGTGTTTAAAAATGCTCTCAACAAGCCTCCACAGGCTGTGGGAGATGCAGGATCAAACCGATTAAAACATTAAAACCCGGGTTGTGTTCAATAGGGCACAACGTCGCAAAACTGTTTTGCAATGTTTATTGGACAAAGTTCAGGTAGTACCTCCCAGTTTCTTGTGTTCTGTACAAACTGAGCACCGTGGAACTTCAAATACATGTATCTACAGCATGTGTGTGTTTGTGGTGTGTGTGAGTGAGTACGTGCAGTGTTTGTCAGTTGAGTTGTGGGAGGGCTTCTCTGGCTCCGTGTCTCCCAGGAATGGACAGGCCTTGTCAGCCTGGGGCGTCCGCTGAGCGCCTGTCAGGAAATACACACAAGTCTCAGCTGAAGAGACGTTAACCTACAAAAGTTCACTATTCCTCAGAATGTATGTCTCTATTGAACATGCTTCTTGGTCCAGGACTCTGGTTAACAGGCCACAGACTGGGGGTTACTGTTATCCCACTAGGCACAAACTGGTTAAATCAACGTTGTTTCCACATCATTGAAACAATATATTATTTAATGACATTGAATCAACATGGGAAACTGATTGGATTTGCAAAATCCAATCAGTCATCAACGTAATGAATTTGGGGGGATTTTTTCCCCCTACCCAACTTTTAACCTAAATCAAATGACATGGCTAAATGTTTTGTTTATTTCATGTTGAAGTCATGTTAGCTGACAACTCAATAAAATGTAAATCAATATTAGACGTTTAACTGGCCTCTGCTCCGTTGGTAGGGACTGTAACAGGTCACATGACACATAGGCCTGCAACGAGGGCTTCCGGAAGTGGATTCTCAATCCTCAAAACCCGTGGTAATATCAAATATTAGAGATAGCAATATCACTGTGCAACGTAGACGTAGTTTTATCTACCGAGATTGCAAAACAATTCCTATAAAGTGCACATGTAGTACCTCAAAGAGCAACAAAACCTACACTAACCATGAGCCTCGTGGTTTGTATCGTCCAATTACAGAGCAGATACAAGTCACGTGACCTGTTGGCAGCAATTACGTGCCATCATGCGTTCTCTAACAGACCACATGACTTGTATCTGCTCTGTGATTGGACGACAAAGACCGCAATGCTGTATGGGATGAGTTATTTTTTTTGCCTCCTATCTATGTACACAGTGTTGTACCCTTGACTTTGTTTTCATATATCACAGTTTTTGTAAAGCAATTTTAAATATATTTTTTTTAATGAATGGTTCACACCGGAGCACTTTGTAGCTATTCATCGCTTGAAACCACGATAAAAAGCATGTTGTTAAAAATGTGTATGCTAAAAATGAGTGGCTGTGTCAGTTCCTGGAACCATAACTGAGTGAAAAGGGAGAAAGGGGGAGTGAGAAAGGAGAGGGGGTAAATAGCTGACCTAAAAGTAGAGGTTAGGTAACACGTTAGCTGCCCTGTGAACTCTGAGTATAGCATTTCACAGTCAGCTGCTGTCGACAACACACCGAAGAGAGAGACAACAGGTCACCAACCGGTTGATCGCGATCGACTGGTCGATCTCCAAGGCATTTCTAGTCGATCACCAAACATTTCTGTAAAAAAAAACAACCAACGATAAAGCTTTGCGTTCCTTTGTTTTTATTCGTCTCACGCCTGTCGGAGGTTAGCTGCACTTGATTCAGCAGCCCTAGCGCCGGGAAGGCAAAGTGTTCATGTGTCTAAAGGTACACACTGCTTTCCCCGGTGGGGCCAGAGAGCAAATCAAGTGCACTATAGGCCTACCACTGGCCAATCGGATGGCTAAGATTACTGTGTCTGCAGTAACGTGGCAGGCATAAAGCTACAGCAAAGTTGATACGGTGAGATTTCTTAAATGTTTCAAACCCATAACTAAAGAAAGACTGTCAACGAATAAAGCAAAGAGCTGCTGTTTTTATGAGTGAGTTCATTGTTTGAGTTCTTACTACAGCCCTGTCAACACTTTGTATTCAACGCTTTTATAAGCCATAAAATGCACGTTCTTCCTATTTCCTCTCAGCGCTACAACACGCACTGCAGCTGTAATGAATGAGTAGGAAAGTGTATCTATAGGGCTTGTGTTGTTATTATCAGCGGCTTGGGTCTTTTTTTAATATCGAGGAATATTTCCCTTTCTCTGTTCACGGGAGTAACAACATTAATTTGTGCCTGAGGCAGAAATAATTTCGCTGCGCATCGAGTTTCGCCATCAGCTGGAAGACGGTGTCCCTTTTTGGTCAGTGTCAGCTGAGGAAAGGGAGAGCGGAGGGCTGCAGAGAGGCGGACCCTCAGTCTGCCGCCCTCTCCCTCCGCTGAGACTGACCATCAGATGCAGGCACCATCAGCCCAGTAAAATAAAAAAGCGAATTATTTAAATGTATGCTCACTCAGCTGTGCCTCACAAGTAATACAACGTCTGATTTATTACCGGTGTGATCATATAGCCTACCTCATTGCTACAGAACTGTTTTTAATAGGTTAATGTTGCATAGGCTTACGTTTTTTAAAAGTCATATAAGCAGTAGATCTCGGCTTGCATTTTGACTCAGAAAAGGTTGGTGACAACTGCTGTATGGGTCTCTCTTTCTCACACACAAACACACACACACACACACACACGTCAGGGGTCTCTTACCCTCTGAAGACCAAGGGGAGGGGAGGGTTGGTAGACGAAGACTGGGCTGTTTGTCACAGTCCTCCAGCGAATCAGGGAGCGGCACACCACTGGTCTCCGGTAGAAACAGACACAGTCCCGCCCCAATAATGGGGCCACTCCCATAAAGAATCATAGCGGCCAATGGGATGGTTTCTCCTCTGGGACTGACCATCACATTCAGGATACAGCCCACCCTGTAACACAGACAAACCAAGCCCACACACTTCTGTCTGTAACACACACACACACACACACACACACACACACGGCAGGGGACACAATACTTGCTGTGTTGAGAGGATAATAGCAATAATTCAACGAGTGAAAAAAAATAGAGAGCGGGAGGTATAAAAAAATAAAAAAATGCTGAGAGAGAGATATTATTGTTCTTAAAGCAGGAATCCACAGGTTGTGACTCTATGCCAACCCAAAGGGACACATCTCAAACATACACACGTGTGTAAAAATTGATTCATAGATGATGTGTGTATCTCTGTTTGCATAGTATGTGTTAATATAATATCACTTTGACCCACATGAGGGAACTAGATCAGTGCTGCGTGTTGAGATAGGGACTGACTAGTCCTTTAACTCTAGGTATACATCAGGGGTCACACAGACACACACACAGACACACACACAGACACACACACAGACACACTCTGTACCTGATGAGCGTAGGGAAGAGTTCAACGCAGTAGAGTGCAGAGACAAACACAGTGGTCTGCACACACAGCTTCCCCACCAGGGCCAGAGCCATCACCAACCCTGGGACATCTACACACACACACACACACACACACACACACACACACACACACGCACGCACGCATGCACGCACGCACGCACGCACGCACGCACACACGCACACACACACACACACACACACAGACACACACACACACACACACGCACGCACGCACGCACGCACGCACGCACGCACGCACACACGCACACACACACACACACACACACACACACACACACACACACACGCACGCACACACACACACACACAATGTTGGATCATTGGAGGTTTGTGTGTGTGCCTGTGCGTGTGTGTGTGTGTTTACCATAGAAGCGTGATGCGAGCAGGGATAGCAGGCAGAAGGAGCCACTGAGGAGCAGGGATAGCATGCTGATTGGGCGTCTGCCGCAGTGAGCCAATAGGAATGGGACGAGCAGGCAGGGAGCCTCTGATAGGCCGCTGAAGAACTGAGCCAGGAAGACATCCACCCCGAACCGCCCGACGTTCAAACAGATACCGTAGTACGTCAGGGCTGACGCTAGCCTAATACACAGGGGGGAAAGACGGCATCAGACAAATACTGTACAACAGACCTGTCAAACAGAGTACAGAGGTAGAATCTGACAGCCTCTCTCTCTCTCTCTCTCTCTCTCTCACACTGACCTACCCAATGTAACTCATGATGATCAGGCGCAGTAGGATGGTGGGACTTCTCATGTGTCCGCAGTGGGAAAGTGTGTGTTCCTCCTGTGTTTCTGTGTCTGTGACTTTCTCAGGTGTGTCTGTGACTTTCTCAAGTGTGTCTGTGACTTTCTCAGGTGTGTCTGTGACTTCCTCAGGTGTGTCTGTGACTTTCTCAGGTGTGTCTGTGACTTTATCAGGTGTGTCTGTGACTTTCTCAGGTGTGTCTGCGACTTTCTCAGGTGTGTCTGTGACTTTCTCAGGTGTGTCTGCGACTTTCTCAGGTGTGTCTGTGACTTTCTCAGGTGTGTCTGTGACTTTCTCAGGTGTGTCTGTGACTTCCTCAGGTGTGTCTGTGACTTTCTCAGGTGTGTCTGTGACTTTCTCAGGTGTGTCTGTGACTTTCTCAGGTGTGTCTGTGTCCAGGTGGACATGCTGCAGGTCCTTCCCCTCTGTGTCCAACAGCTAGGCGAGAAAGATCACACACAGGCCTGAGTTGAGTTAGGCAACACTGATACAGTGAGGGAAAAAAGTATTTGATCCCCTGCTGATTTTGTACGTTTGCCCACTGACAAAGACATGATCAGGCTATAATTTTAATGGTAGGTTTATTTGAACAGTAAGAGACAGAATAACAACAAAATAATCCAGAAAAACGCATGTCAAAATGTTATAAATTGATTTGCATTTTAATGAGGGAAATAAGTATTTGACCCCTCTGCAAAACATGACTTAGAACTTGGTGGCAAAACCCTTGTTGGCAATCAGAGGTCAGACGTTTCTTGAAGTTGGCCACCAGGTTTGCACACATCTCAGGAGGGATTTTGTTCCACTCCTCTTTGCAGATCTTCTCCAAGTCATTAAGGTTTCGAGGCTGACGTTTGGCAACTCGAACCTTCAGCTCTCTCCACAGATTTTCTATGGGATTAAGGTCTGGAAACTGGCTAGGCTTCTTCTTGAGCCACTCCTTTGTTGCCTTGGCTGTGTGTTTTGGGTCATTATCATGCTGGAATACCCATCCATTTTCAATGCCCTGGCTGAGGGAAGGAGATTGTCACCCAAGATTTGACGGTACATGGTCCCATCCATCGTCCCTTTGATGTGGTGAAGTTGTCCTGTCCCCTTAGCAGAAAAACACCCCCAAAGCATAATGTTTCCACCTCCATGTTTGACGGTGGGGATGGTGACAGGCAGCATTCCTCCTCCTCCAAACACGGCGAGTTGATGTTCATTGGCAAACTTCAGACGGCCCTGTATATGTGCTTTCTTGAGCAGGGGGACCTTGCGGGCGCTGCAGGATTTCATTCCTTCACGGCGTAGTGTGTTAGCAATTGTTTTCTTGGTGACTATGGTCCCAGCTGCCTTGAGATCATTGACAAGATCCTCCCGTGTAGTTCTGGGCTGATTCCTCACCGTTCTCATGATCATTGCAACTCCATGAGTTGAGATCTTGCATGGAGCCCCAGGCCGAGGGAGATTGACAGTTCTTTTGTGTTTCTTCCATTTGCAAATAATTGCACCAACTGTTGTCACCTTCTCACCAAGCTGTTTGGCGATGGTCTTGTAGCCCATTCCATCCTTGTGTAGGTCTACAATCTTGTCCCTGACATCCTTGGAGAGCTCTTTGGTCTTGGCCATGGTGGAGAGTTTGGAATCTGATTGATTGATTGCTTCTGTGGACAGGTGTCTTTCATACAGGTAACACGCTGAGATTAGGAGCACTCCCTTTAAGAGTGTGCTCCTAATCTCAGCTCGTTACCTGTATAAAAGACACCTGGGAGCCAGAAATCTTTCTGATTGAGAGGGGGTCCAATACTTATTTCCCTCATTAAAATGCAATTCAATTTATAACATTTTTGACATGCGTTTTTCTGGACTTTTGTTGTTGTTATTCTGTCTCTCACTGTTCAAATAAACCTACCATTAAAATTATAGACTGATCATTTCTTTGTCAGTGGGCAAATGTACAAAATCAGCAGGGGATCAAATACTTTTTTTCCCTCACTGTATGTATGTCTGTGTGTGTGTGTGTGTGTGTGTACAAGAGAGAGGTTGTCAGGTTCTACCACTGTACTCTATTTGATAGCTCTGTTCTACAGCATTTGTGTGTGTCTGGGTATGTGTTTGTGTTCACCAGGTCAAGACAGTGTTTGTCCTCAGGACTTCGTCTCCTGTACTCCTCCAGAGTCTCTGTCCGCCTCATCAGGAGTAGCCAGCTAGGAGACTCAGGAATAGAGCTGAGAGAGAGAGAGAGAGAGATCAATATTAGTTATCTGTCAAACTACAAGTCTGTCAAACTACAGTTCTCTGTCAAACTACATGTTAGGCCTACTGCTGCTAGGTAGCTCTCTCTCTCTTCTCTCCCCCTCCCCTCTGTCTGTTCTTGATTGCAGGAGTGAAGTCTGGTGTGCGGGAGTCAGGGTTCCAGCTGCAGCTCATTCACCATAATCACCTCAGCCTTAAAGACCCGGTCAAACTTGCCACTCATCGTCAGATCATAGTCAAGACGACCATGTTAGTCTCGCTGCTGACTCAACCTGCTTGTTTTCGCTCTTTGTGTTTTTGGCCTGTTCTATTTATATTTCTCCTGTGCCACAGATTATTGGAACCTGAATCCGGCCTCCGCTTCACTCCTGCCACCACCATCCTGCTTTCCACTACTGGACCTCACATTTGGACTCACCACGGACACTAGGACGTTACGGTACCACTCCTGCTCAGAACCCTGGATCTGTTACCCTCCCTGTAGACCTGGACTTGCTCTTCCCCTATTTTAAGAAACCTGGACAATTTAACTTTGAAATAAACCTGTTAAACCTTCTCTGGCTCTGTGTAGTTGTCTGCATTTGGGTTCATATTCAGTTTAAATCGTGACACTACAGGTGTCTGTCAAACTACAGGTGTCTGTCAAACTACAGGTGTCTGTCAAACTACAGGTCTCTGTCAAACGACATTCCTATTTGTATAAGGAGACCACATTATAGTCAACTCTGAACACTCTGTGTGTGTGTTACTCACTAGTAGAGAGGCAGACAGAGGATCTGTGGTATGGCCAGCGCCAGGTGTAGCTGAGTCCAGCTGTGTGTGAGGTATGCCAGCGGTGCCAGGGCCATCATACCCAGGCTGAAGGAGAAAGACAGGAGGGCCGGGGGCCATATACGATACCTGGGAAGACTCCACTCCACACCTACACACACACACACACACACACACACACACACACACACACACACACACACACACACACACACACACACACACACACACACACACACACACACACACACACACACACACACACACACACACTGTTAAATCCATGCACACAGGCGCACACATGCACATACACACAGTTACATCAAGGTAGGTGTGTGTGTAACTGTGTGTGTGTGTGTGTGTGTGTGTGTGTGTGTGTGTGTGTGTGTGTGTGTGTGTGTGTGTGTGTGTGTGTTTGTTACCCAGGCTGAAGCTGCAGATATTGATGCAGCAGCAGGAGACCCCGGCCAGACAGCGCAGGGTGAGGAAGAGGAGGGCGTGAGGAAGGACGGCCGGCAGCACAGCGGTCACAGCATTGACACACACACACACCAGCAGCACCGCTCGCTTACCGTACCTGGTCACACACACACACACACACAGAACACACACACACACACACAACTTCCATGTGTTACAGTGTATTATTTACTGTGTGTGTTTGTGTGTGTGTGTCTGTGTGTGAGTCTCACCTGTCAGAGAGAGCTCCTCCAAACAGAGATCCCAGCAGAAGGCCAGTCATGTACACGGTCTGACTGTACGACAACACCACCGGATCCATACACAGTGTGCCCTGTAACACACACACACACACACACACACACACACACACACACACACACACACACACACAAAAACACACACACACACACACACAAAAACACACACACACACACACACAAAAACACACACACACACACACACACACAGATGTTTGTGCTAGATAATGTTTTAGTAATCTAGTTGTATGTTGTAACACTGACTATGTCCTCAGACCCGTGAGATATTGCTGATGTTTCCCTGAGACATGACGGTACGTCTTATCACTACTGTGTGTTGTGAAACCGTCTTGCCGGGTCACACTCATTTTATTCACTTACTTTCCATTGTTGTTGCACTGTCGAAGTGAAGCTACAAGTCAGCCCATGTAGAGTATATCATGTATCATGTCTATATGACTAATAAACAAACTGAAACTTGTAAGTTGTTTCCCAAACACACGATCCGACATACATTCTGGGAGTGTGTTTAATTGGTCAGTGAGTGTGTGGATGGCTAGTTCTGTGCCCCCTGGTTACCCTGGCTATTTCTATGATTAAGTATTTCGTTGACTCATCTACTGCTGTTCAGACATGAAGTTAGAGCACATAGCAGAGGCATGGGTTGCATCTTAATCAGTGTCGATTAAATGACAGCCTATCTGTTAATAAACTAAAACTCGGTTCATCTGGGTCAGTGGGCTACATTTCTACATCAGACAAATCTGTCATGCAGCTTGTTGATGTTTACACTGATTTAGACAATTATAATAACTGGCAATCATGTTTGGAACTATACAACTTTTCCGGTTTACTCACGTTCTCCCTTTCTGTGTCGTTCCCACCCGTGATCTAATCCTGTGGTGGTAATAATACCTGTATAAGTGACCCGTTCATCACCTCTCGCACCTCCCATGTAGTCCAGTTCTGTGTGTGCGCACTAGAAGAGACTTCTCCCCCGGTCCGACTCCCGGCCGGTAACTCACCCGGGACGTTATTGCACGAGGAGGTTGCTCTGCTAACAGCGAAGATGTCGAGGAAGAAGAGAAACGCCATGAAGAAGAATATGAGCGCGAGACGCCAGTACACCGCGAGCTGCAATGGAGCCATAATAGTAGGCTCTTCTCTTTCACTCTCTCTCTCTCTCTCTCTCTCTCTATGCTTACCGCCTTTATCACGGTCTCACCGGACTCTCTGGTTAGATCGTAAAGTGTACGTGTAAACTCCTAGAACTCCCCGTCAACTGTCTCCTCTGCGGAAGAAGTGTTGTAACAGCAAAGTCTAATCATAACAAATCGTGACGTATTGGTCTAGGGTGAATAAATTCCTAACTAGTCTCGTGCACCAGACTGCCTGTGGACGAAGTTATTTAAACCTTCTCTAGAACCTTCTCTAGAACTACACAACTTCTACTCTAATCATTCTCCTTCTCTCCCCTTTTCTCCTCTTTCTCCCCTCTCTCTCTCTCTCCTTCCCATTCTCTCTCTCTCTCCTTCACATTCATATATATCCTACTCTCTATATATATATACTCTCTCTCTGGTATATGTCTATGTATCTCTCTCTATATCTATGTCTCGTATCTATCTCTCTCTCTCTCTCCGCTCTCTCTATCTCTCTCTCCTCTCTCTCATCTCTCGCTCTCCGTCTCTCTCCTCCCATTCTCTCTCTCTCTCTCTCTCTCTCTCTCTCTCTCTCTCTCTCTCTCTCTCTCTCTCTCTCTCATCTCTCTCTCTTTCTCTCTCTCTCTCTCTCTCAATTCAAAAAGGGTTTTATTGGCATGGGAACATAGCCACGGGAAGTAGTTTAGGGGTGCTGCTTTTTTTGGGGGGTGGTGGTGTGGGGGTGGTGTGGGGTGTGTAGAAATAAAGCTAAACCTAGGGTATGGCTAAATGGGGTGTGTAGAAATACATCTAAACCTAGGGTATGGCTAAATGGGGTGTGTAGAAATGCAGCTAAACCTAGGGTATGGCTAAATGGGGTGTGTAGAAATACAGCCACCAGTTGAAGCTCATTTACTGTACTTCTACACCATTTTAAAACTCTAAATGCTATTCTGAGAACAGCAAAAACAAACAACAACGTCCCCCAGACATTAGGTTTATATTAGGTTTGGCGTGTACAATGTGGAATGGCGTGTACAATGTGGAATGGCGTGTACAATGTGGAATGGCGTGTACAATGTGGAATGGCGTGTACAATGTGGAATGGCGTGTACAATGTGGAATGGCGTGTACAATGTACTACTCAACCTCATCATGCATAGGCTACATTGACCCTTGAGCATACAGTGCAACATGAAATAGATGCATAACACACGCTATCAAGGCCCACTTCAAATACCGACATTAATGTGAAAGTAACCGGAGCATAAAACAGCTGACTGCAAATGCGAACTATGACAGATAAATCCTACACACGCATGGAAATAAAAGGCATACATCAAAGGAAGTAATTAGGCCTGCAATCGACAAGAACGCATAAAGACAAACAAACTCGACCAAGGAATGAAGAAAAATGTACACATTAAGGACGCGCTCGTGATTCATCGCTGCTGAATGGACAGCTACTCGGTACAGCTCCTCGGTACAGCTACTCGGTACAGCATAATGGAGCTCCGTGGTGTTTGGCTGAGTGGACAGCGTCTCTGTCTAATTGCCAGCTAGAATTAGGCTGTTAACGTTTGTGGGCAGTTGGACATTTTCTGGGCACAGTTGAGATAACTTACAATGCTTCTGTGAAAATCATAACTGGCATGCATATCTTTAGACATTGTAGGATCAATTGTAAATTGTCACTCATGTGGAAAAAGGTTTTCAGACCCCCTGCTGAAGGCAATCTGAAGCCACCCTTGTGGAACGGTGCATATAGTGCCATTGTTTTGTGCTCTTCCCACTAAAGTTGTTGTTCTGCATTCAGAGATGTTCCTCATGTGTGCGCCAAGCTCATTTTAGTATTTGCCTTGTCTGCATTATTCGCCAGGGAAGGGGAAACATTCTGCGAACATAGAAGCGCTGCATTAACAAGGTGTTTCTGAGAACATTAAAATATTTTTTATCAACAAGACTGCTCCGAGAATTAGGGGGGGGGTGCATAAAAATAAATATATACAGACCATATAAACAACGTACTTACATTTCTTTAATTAACAATTTTAGTGATGCATCGATCGAGATCAACACACCACCTCAACCAGTGTATTGTCACTACTGAGAAATGGGTTCAATACCTGTATCGTGACAGTCTAAATTGAATTTAGGCATCTAAGACATATATACCGGTCTACTACATTTACATTTACATTTCAGTCATTTAGCAGACGCTCTTATCCAGAGCGACTTACAGTTAGTGAGTGCATACATTATTTTATTTGTTTATACTGGCCCCCTGTGGGAATCGAACCCCACAACCCTGGCGTTGCAAACGCCATGCTCTACCAACTGAGCTACACCCCTGCCGGCCATTCCCTCCCCTACCCTGGACGACGCTGGGCCAATTGTGCGCCACCCCATGGGTCTATGCAGGAATAGTAAAGGCCCAGTGCACTACTTTTGTGAATAAAAAAACCCCACAATTTATTTGAGTGTTTACCAGCATTTGTAAAATGAGTCTTATAATTATCTGTACAAAACAGTTCATCTGACATTTTCTATAGGATTGAGGTCAGGGCTTTGTGATGGCCACTCCAATACCTTGACTTTGTTGTCCTTAAACCATTTTGCCACAACTTTGGAAGTATGCTTGGGGTCATTGTCCATTTGGAAGACCCATTTGCGACCAAGCTTTAACTTCCTGACTGATGTCTTGAGATGTCTTGAGATGTTGCTTCAATATATCCACATAATATTCCTTCCTCATGATGCCATCTATTTTGTGAAGTGCACCAGTCCCTCCTGCAGCAAAGCACCCCCACAGCATGATGCTGCCACCTCCGTGCTTTATGGTTGGGATGGTGTTCTTCGGCTTGCAAGCAACCCCCTTTGTTTGTTTGTTTGTACAGATGAACGTGGTACCTTCAGGCATTTGGAAATTGCTCCCAAGGATGAACCAGACTTGTGGAGGTCTACACATTTTTTTCTGAGGTCTTGGCTGATTTCTTTAGATTTTCCCATGATGTCAAGCAAAGATGCACTGAGTTTGAAGGTAGGCCTTGAAATACATCCACAGGTACACCTCCAATTGACTGAAATGATGTCAGTTAGCCTATCAGAAGTTTCTAAAGCCATGACATCATTTTCTGGAATTTCCAAGCTGTTTAAAGGCACAGTCAACTTAGTGTATGTAAACTTCTGACCCACTGACCCAATTACTTGTGTCGTGCACAAAGTAGATGTCCTAACCGACTTGCCAAAACTATAGTTTGTTAACAAGAAAAAACAGTTTGTGGTTGAAAAAACAGTTTTAATGACTCCAACCGACTTCAACTGTACATAAGTATTAAAAGTTAAAGTATATACAATTTCAAATTCCTTATATTAAGCAAATCAGATGGCAACATTTTCTTGTTTTTTTAATTTACAGATAGCCAGAGGCACACTCCAACACTCAGACATAATTTACAAACGAAGCATGTGTGTTTAGTGACTCCGCCAGATCAGGTAGTAGGGATGACTAGGGATGTTCTGTTGATAAGTGCGTGAATTGGACCATTTTCCTGTCCTGCTAAGCATTCAAAATGTAACAGGTACTTTTGGGTGTCAAGGGAAATGTATGGAGTAAAAAGTAAAAAATGTTCTTAAGGAATGTAGTGAAATAAAAGTAAAAGTAGTCAAAAATAGAAATAGTAAAGTAAAGTACAGATACGCCAAAAAAACAGCTTAGACTTACACTCCAGAGCATCTTACACTAGTGACTGCATACATTTTCATACTGGTCCCCCGTGGGAATCGAACCCACAACTCTAACATTGCAAGCAATATGCTCTACCAACTGAGCCACATCATCACATCGCATCATGAAGACCCCACTTGATGTCTCAATGTGCTCAATTACTGTATTGTGCATTGTTTTTCTTCATGGTGATGGAAAGTACTAACCTTTATTTATTTGATTTCACCTTTATTTAACCAGGTAAACCAGTTGAGAACAAGTTCTCATTTACAACTGCGACCTGGCCAAGATAAAGCAAAGCAGTGCGATAAAAACAACAACACAGAGTTACATATGGGGTAAAACAAAACATACAGTCAATAACATAATAGAAAATCTATATACAGTGTGTGCAAATGTAGTAAGTTATGGAGGCAAGGCAATAAATAGGCCATACGCAAAATAATTACAATTAAGTATTAACACTGGAGTGATAGATGTGCAGAAGAAGATGTGCAAATAGAGATACTGGGGTGCAAATGAGCAAAATAAATAACAATATGGAGATGAGGTAGTTGGGTGGGCTAATTACAGATGGGCTGTGTACAGGTGCAGTGATCGGTAAGGTGCTCTGACAACTGATGCATAAAGTTAGTGAGGGAGATAAGAGTCTCCAGCTCCAGAGATTTTTGAAGTTCGTTCCAGTCATTAGCAGCAGAGAACTGGAAGGAATGGCGGCCAAAGGAGATGTTGGCTTTGGGGATGACCAGTGAATTAGAATTTAACAGTAAATATTGCACTCAAAACGTTTTCAAAAAGAGACATTTCAAGTGCTATATTATCAGCTACATGTACAGTGCACTCTTTCTCTCTCTCTACACACACATATATATATATACAGTGAGGGAAAAAAGTATTTGATCCCCTGCTGATTTTGTACGTTTGCCCACTGACAAAGACATGATCAGTCTATAATTTTAATGGTACGTTTATTTGAACAGTGATTTTTAGGTTTTCACACATCTCAGGAGGGATTTTGTCCCACTCCTCTTTGCAGATCTTCTCCAAGTCATTAAGGTTTCGAGGCTGACGTTTGGCAACTCGAACCTTCAGCTCCCGCCACAGATTTTCTATGGGATTAAGGTCTGGAGACTGGCTAGGCCACTCCAGGACCTTAATGGGCTTCTTCTTGAGCCACTCCTTTGTCAACCTTGGCCGTGTATTTTGGGTCATTGTCATGTTGGAATACCCATCCACGACCCATTTTCAATGCCCTGGCTGAGGGAAGGAGGTTCTCACCC